AAATATACCCTACCTCCAAGCTGTTTAAGTCAATCCAGAAATGTCTGCATTGACTCACTGAGGCAGGTAGCTGATTAGCAGACTGTTTTCAATTACACAGTTATTAATTCCAGTAAACAACGAAAAATGCAAACAGTTAAGCATTCCAACGTCCTCTCCCCACTCACATTATCTTTTTTTAAAAAAAGCAGATTACCTGTGGACATAGAATCTGAAGGAGATACCCATAAGGCAAATTTCAGAAAAACCATTGTTTTTTAAATCAGGAAGATTATCATTTTACTACCATTTTTGTTTCCTTACTTGCTTTTTTGAGAAATTAAGATCATGTATAATTACAGGTAAATATCCTAACTTCACCCGCTAACAAAACTCCTACAAGCACATTAACTGACCTTAGACTGGTACATTTATCAAGAAAAGTGTCCAATGCACATATTTCAACCATATTCAGAACTGACCTCCTACCCTCAGAAATGGTGTCAGCTCTGTCAGTGAGCCGTGGACCACGACCGAGGGTCGCAGAGAACGTTTCCTCAAGGCCCCTATAAAGCTGTGACTCCACAAGGCAGTAGAGTTTCCGAGTCAACTTTACAGCTCTATAATCATGCAATAATATTTCAATATAAAAGATTTACTAGCACAATTGTAATCCCACCTTCACATGGGATGCAACGTCCCATTAATGTTTATTTTTTTATCTGTGTTGCACAACAGCTGTAACCCAAAGGCATCCACTCCATATTGAGGTCATCCCTTCTCTCCAGCCTCCTGAGCCGTCAGCCACCTGCACTGTGCACAGCACTCTGACAAAACCAGAAAGCGAACCCTGCACATAGTTAGGAGGTGCAGACCAACTGAACTAAGTCGCCTCTGCTCGCAGGAATGCGTTTCTAAGTGTTTCAAAATGCCAGATCTTGCAAATAAAATCGACCTTTTCCTCTGACATTCTCTTAAAAGAAAACAAGACTTTAAAGGTATATTTCTTAGCTATTTTTTATTCTAAATTCCCATGACTGCGGAATAATAAACGGGTGTCGGGAGGCAGTCCAGCGCTTCCCCACTTCCAGTCTCTCAGCGTTTCATTGCCATTTTGCCTCGATGTATCCAGCACAACGTACACAAATACGCACACATAAAAAATTTCTTTTTCCACATGGTTTTTACACTCAAAGGTAGAAATTAAGAAATACAAATTCCCTCCTCTCTAAAAATAAAATTAAGTGAATTTTTTTCTAGTGTAACACTGTAAAACACCTCCGAAATTTTTCTCCATTTTATTTTACAGCAAAGAGTCCACCTTAAATGAGAGAATGTGGAAACTTGGGAAAAATACCAGTCTTTCTGGTCAAGTGGCCATATTTAATTAATTGCTTTAAATAAAAAATGACAAGTCACTTGTCACGTTCTTATCGCGACAATCCATCATACTAACTGTAGATTGCTTCCTTCTATATATTTCCTTTTTCTTCCTCTTCTCTCCTCTTTTCTCCTCTTTGCCACTTTCAGTTGTGGCTCCTACTGTGGGATTCATTCAACAAGCCAAACATCTCCCTTTCCTATACTATTTATATTGTTTCCTTAAAAATCAGCCACTTATTAAAAAAGGAAAAATTGCCGATGCCTATCCAAATGCTATGGGAAGTTCCCAGTGACCTTATTTCAATGTAATTTAAGTTGCTTCTCCCTTTATAAAATGGGAATGGAAAAGCGTGAGAAGTACACTGCACTTCTTGAAAACACTGTCAGGAGTTCACAGAAGAGTGTTTCACCCCTGCCCCCACCAACCCACCACATACACACACCCCTGCAGCTGGTTACTCTTGTCAAGTTGTTTCAACTTTTCTGGCCTTAAGTAGTTTGAATGTAAATATAAAGAGACTGGACTGGAGTTTCTCCCATCTCTGACATTCTATTTTCCTCCAATTACGCTTCCTTTTCATTCAATTACTGTATCAGTATACCCCCTTACCAAGTCATTTATCTTCCTTGTGGAATAAAAATTATTTTATTCTGCAGTTACGCTGACTTGTATTTTGTCCACTGCTCTCGCATTTAAGGCAGGAGAAATCAATATATTTCAGTAGGAGCTTGAATGTGATTCTACCTCAAGGTTTAAGAATGGGCTGAGTAACCTATAATTGTGATTTCTCAGTGACCTTTTAAGGGTGAGCATGGGAAGAATGTGGTCATCCGCAATCAAACGTCGCTTCATCTCACCAGCACGTATGCTCCTTAAGGGCAGGACCCGTCTGTCATCTTTTTTCTAATTCTCCGCATGACTCTGTACATACTGGACGCTCCATAAATGTTGCTTACTATTTCACATTTTGTTTCTGCGCCGAGGACTCTGGTAGATCAGGGATGCTAACTGAGATACCGCAAGTCAAACGCTCTCCTGGTGGTGCGGCAAGAGCTCAGGGTTTTCAAATCCATTTCCAAATGTGTTACTGATTTCCAGTTTCTTCAAGAGACAACTAACCCACTCAGCAACTAACCGTTATGCTCCAAACTGCCTCTTTTTTGGTGTTAGTAAAATGCCAAGGAGGGACGGGCCCCGGGGCCAAGTGGTTAGGTTTGCGCACTCCACTGTGGCAGCCCAGGGTTTCTCTGGTTTGGATCCTGGGCGCAGACATGGCACAGCTCATCAGGCCACGCTGAGGCAGCGTCCAAACAGCACAACCAGAGGCACTCACAACTAGGATACACAGCTGTGTACTGGGGGGCTTTGGGGAGAAGAAGAAGAAAAAAGATTGGCAACAGATGTCAGCTCAGGGCCAATCTTTAAAAAACAAAAAAAAATACAGGGGCGGCCCCGTGGCAGAGTGGTTAAGGCCAGTGCTCCACTTCGGGGCCCAGGGTTTCACCGTTCGGATCCCGGGTGCAGACACCGCTCATCAGGTCATGCCGAGGCAGCGTCCCACATGCCACAACTAGAAGGACCCACAACTAAAATATACAACTATGTACTGGGGGGATTGGGGGAGAAAAAAAGCAGGAAAAAAAATGCAAAGGATAAAACACTTGCCTAAATATATCCATGGTTTCTATGTTGTGTTTCTTCTTTTGTATTTACTGTGGAGATATCCAATCCTCCACCTTTATGAGAGGTGTCTCTGTTGCTGGAATTTCAAGTACCATAATCATTACTACATAACACGAAAAGTAAGAAAATCACCCAAAATTTTCTTCACCCAAAAAAACACCCAAAGAGAAAGTCATCATGGAAGTAACTAGAAGAGATGATGACGTTTTTTAAAGGAAGGACCAGCATTTCAATGGTCAGAATCAACCAAGCAACAGAGATACTAATCAGTTTAAAAAAAAAAAAAAGTCGGCCCTGAAAATATATCCCAATATTTTTCAAAAAAATGAAAATAGTCACTTACCCAAATATATTTATAGCATCATCATCATCAGACAAGATTTGTTGAGTACACTCTTTATACCAGACATCTTACATCCATTAGTCCTCACAATAAGGCGGGTACTGTCCACGTTTAGAGATGAGGAAACTGAAGCTCACTTTAAAAAGGTCGTTCAGCTAGTAAGCAGCCGAACTGAGACTCAGACCCAGATCTGTCTACCTCTGACCACTGCATTCTGTCATCTAAGCCACGTGGAAGCTGAATAAATAACCAACAGTAGCAGACGGTCAGATAGATTGTTACCATTACTTAGTGGAATTTTAGGCAACTTACTAAAAAATTATAAAGTGGAAATAAAATAGACATTTCATAGCATCTATGAAGTAATGTTATATTTAAAAGATAAAATTTAAATGCATTCTCCTTATAACTAGGTAAAAATGTGTATCTATTTGGATAAAAATTAGAATAGAGCACAAAGAAACGAAAAATTCTATGGTTAGGTGATGGGCTTACTGGGTGGTATATATTTTTATTAATGAATTGTTTTAAAATTAAGTCAGCTACAGTAATCAAGACAGTGTGGTATTGGTGGAATATACAAATAGATCAACGGAAAAGAATAGAGAGCCCAGAAAGAGATCCACATAAATACAGTTAACTGATCTTTGACAAAGGAGCAAAGGCAATACAAGGGAGCATAGACAGTCCTTTCAACAAGGGGCTGGAACAACTGGACACCACATGCAACAAAATGAATCTAGACACAGATCTTACACCCGTCACAAGAATTAACTCAAAATAGATCACAGACCTAAACATAAAACACAAAACTATAAAGCTCCCAGAACACAGAAGGAAACCTAGGTGACAGTGGCTATGGCAATGACAACACTAAAGTATAATCCGTGAAAGAAAATACTGTATGATTTCACTCATACGTGGAAGATGACAAATACATGGATAAAGAGAACAGATTAGTGGTTACCAGAGGGGAAGCGGGGTGGGGAGTGGGCAAAAGGGATAAAGCAGCACATATGTATGGTGACAGATAAAAATTGGACTACGGGGGTGAACATGATGAAGTGTATTCAGGAACTGATAAACAATAATGTACACCTGAAATTACAGAATGTTATAAACCACTATAATCCCAATAAAATTACTTGGGAAAAAAAAGAAATAATTGATAAGCTAGACTTTTGCTCTGTGAAAGACACTGACAAGAGAATGAAAAGACAAGCCACAGGCTGGGAGAAAATATTTGTAAAAGATACATCTGATAAAGGACTATTATCCAAAATATACAAAGAACTCTTAAAATTCAACAATAAGAAAACGACTCAATTAAAAAATGGGCCAAAGACCTTAAAAGACACCTCACCAAAGAAGATATACAGACGCCAAATAAGGACATGAAAAGATGTTCCACGTGGTATGTCATAAGGGAAATGCAAACTAAAACAACGAGATACCACTACACACCTATTAGAATGGCCAAAATCTAGAACACGGACAACACCACATGCTGGTGAGGTTGTGCAGCAAAAGGAACTCTCATTCATTGCTGATGGGAATGCAAAATCACACAGCAACTCTGGTAGTTTCTTACAAAACTAAACATACTCTTACCATACGATCCATTAATCACGTTCTTGGTATTTACACAAAGGAAGTGAAAACTTCTATCCATACAAAAACCTGCACACGGATGTTTTCAGAAGCTTTATCCATAAGTGTCAAAACCTGGAAGCAAACAAGATGCCCTTCAACATGAGAATGGATAAATAAACTGCGTACATCCAGACGAGGTAATATATTCAGTGCTAAAGAGAAATGAGCTACCAAGCCATGAAAATACACGGAAGAAACTAAAATGCACGTGACTACGACTATGTGAAAGAAGCCAATCTGAAAAGGCTGCATAGTACATGATTCCAACTACATGACATTCTAGAAAAGGCAAAACTATGGAGACGGTAAAAAGATCAGTGCTTGCCAGGGGTTGCAGGGGAGGGGGAGTGAATAAGGCGGAGCACAGAATACTTTCAGGGCAGTGAAACTACTCTGTATGATATATGTCGTTATATGTTAGTCTAAACCCATAGAATATATAAAACCAAGAGGAACCCTAACATAAACTACGGACTTTATGTAACAATGATGTGTCAGAGTACCTTCACCAATGGTAACAAATGTACCTCTGATGGGGAATGCTGATAATGGGGGGAGGGTGCCTATACATGAGTGGGGCAGGAGGTATTAATGAGAAATCTCTGTACCTTATTTTGTAGTGGACCTAAAACTGCTCTAAAAAGTAAAGTCTATTAAAAAATTAATGGATCCTGGGGCTGGCCCAGTGGCGCAGGGGTGAAGTTCTCACGTTCTGCTTCTTGGCGGCCCAGGGTTCGCCGGTTTGGATCCCAGGTGTGGACATGGCACCACTTGGCACACCATGCTGTGGCAGGCATCCCACATATAAAGTAGAGGAAGATGGGCACGGATGTTAGCTCAGGGACAGTCTTCCTCAGCAAAAAGAGGATGATTGGCAGTAGTTAGCTCAGGGCTAATCATCCTCAAAAAAAAAAAGAAAAAGAAAAATTAATGGATCTTTTCTTTATTTTTCCTTCGACTGTGAAACTTTGGGGTGGGAGTGGGGGAGGCTACCAACATAGATTTTGTTATTGACCACTGTGGAATATCTTCCTTGGCTGAGCACTTTAAGACATTATCTCATTTAATCCTTTTTTTTCTCCCCAAAGCCCCAGTACATTGTTGTACATCCTAATTCTAAATCCTTCTAGTTCTTCTATGTGGGATGCCGCCAGAGCACAGCTTGATGAGCGTGTGTAGGTCTGTGTCCAGGATGTGAACTGGCAAACCCCAGGCCACCGAAGCAGAGCATGTGAACTTAACCACTGTGCCACCAGGCCGGGCCCCTCATTTAATCTTTTTGCAACAATATTTTTGAGGTAAATATTTCTTTGATCCCTATTTCAGAGATGAGGAAACAGATGCTTAAAGATTAAGATGACTCTCCCCGGAAAATGGCCACGCTGGTAGAGAAAACCAGGTTGGCTTGACCCCAAAGCCCATTTTCTTCATCAGGCCACTGCACAATATTACACAGCAGCTCCCGGATACAAAGTTGATAATAGGCCCCCAATAACTAGAACTCCTTCTGAGCCTCGCATTAAAGAAAACGGGACTGTTAAAGAGCAATTCAAAGTCAAAATAACTGACATCAGTATTAGTAGTCTCTGCTTTAGAAAAAGTAATTCCCCGTTTGATTCAGAATAGCATTTATTAAAATTACAATAATTATAATCACTTTCTCCTGTTCTTCTAAAATGTTTTTAATAAAAATATAAACCAGGTTTCAACCAGATTTTTTTTGTCTTTACAGACAAATAGTGGATTGTATTTCCTTTGTTCCCCAGTAAGGAAATAGTTAAATCTTGAGGGTACACCCTGGCAGATATCTCCCTCAACCATCTACAGAAAAAAAAAAAGGTCACAGTCAGTTACTCCCGTTAGAGCAGCGTTCACCGGAACCTCTGTAGGCACATACGCGCTCCAGCGGCAGCCTTCTGCTCGCAGGGTCCGGTCCGAGGGGCAGGCAGTGAATCTTCCCTCAGCGCTGACAGCTAACACCTGGTTTAGCGGCAGAGACTCAGAGAGGGCGAGCAGTCCCTCTGGCCGTCAGGTAGGTCAATACCTTCATTCCTACCAAAGCTGCAGGACAGGAGCCCAGGGGTGTCGGCTTTAAGGGAAGGACAATGGCACCCTAAGGCAGCGTGTTAGTTCCAGGTGGACTGGGGGTCGAGCCGGGAAGGGATGATGAGAATTTGGAAGCAGTGGGGCTTCCTGGTCTCAGGCTCCTGCAAGGATTTAGTCCCTGTGGCACCAGTGCCTATGGATTAATCTCAGAGCCTAAACGCTTCTCTGGCCTAAGCGTCAGAAGGAAACCTAACTCTAGTTTTACTGCCAGCGAAAACCAAGTAACAGATGCCTCAAATCTGATGACCCGTGCAAGGCAGTGTTAACTCATGCACTCAATGGCTGTAGAGACACGAGGTTCCCTGAAATTCTGGAGCAATCAGGAAAACACGGGCAACACGATCAGCAAGATTTAAGCCTTCAGAGTCCAGTCCTTTGTTTGGAAGGAAAAACGTCAGTTCAGACACGGGAAACTACAAACCCAGACCTCATACCATTAGTCCTCTTTCGATGCTCAACGATGCCCTCGCTTCACTGTGAATAAATGAAAACCTCCTTGCTGAGGAACCTTAGCGTGGGGTTTGGAAAACTGCATCAATTTATTGGTCCTATCTTTCTGTCTTTTAAAAAGCACCTTTAATGTACTGGCTTTGAAACTTCCTTCAGTTGAAGAATAGTGTCTTCTTTTTCAAAATCTGCCTATTTTTATCTAGCCTATTTAAAGAAAATCACTTCAGTGGATTATTTTAGTTCTAGTATAACCTTTCAAAAATCTTTTAAAAACCAGGCTATGACTAATATTAAAACCGTGGAAAACATATGAGTCTACTCCAGTGAAAACATATTTGTCAGTAAAGCAAAATTGAAAAAGCTAAATAAATAAGGCAAAATAATGTGAAAACATTTTCAATGTTGCTATTTACTCTTTAAATATATAAGTCATCCGGCCATGGTTTAAAATGGGTAATCTAAAAATTAAATACACAAATGCTATGAACTATGAGTTACGCGAGGAGGTAATTCATCTTACCAGTAATAAACTTTATCGCTCTTCTTAGGACCCTAATATTATGAAATAAGCCAACATCAGGGCATCGAAGGGAGAACAGGTCAGAAATCCTTAGGGACCCAAACTAAGCTACAAAATGGGTAGAATTCTTTATGTCTTGTCAAAGGAAAGGTTTCGGTTTAATCTACGATAATTGTATTTTCACTTAGCAGAAGCCGAAATCCCTATGACAACACTAAAATGAAGACAGAGGGCTACAAGGAAAACATTTTTTTTTAAAGCTTGCTGTTTAAAAGCAGGTGTTTGTGGCGTGTGGTCACCCCCTGGGATCTGGAATCCATTACCCCTGTACAGCTTGCTTTATAGCCTAATAGTCTTCAAAGGCATTTAAAACAAGCAGGTGTTGGTTTCGGCACTGCCTCCACCCAAACGTGGGCAGCGCTGACAATCATCCCACATCATGCTGAGCGCAATCACTTACGGTTTCCATTAAGTGAACTGAGGTCAACATTATCTCCTTTTAGTGCCTCTAAAGGGCACTTCCTCAGTTGCACAGACGCCTTCTCTTCTGTATACTTGGACAGGCCATGAATAAAGGAAACAATCGCCCAGGTTATTTCACAGGCAGGGCAAGCTGCTGACCCTACCAACTACCATGGTCTGAGGAAGAGAGAGGCTCGCTTACCTTAGTAAGAATCCTTCTCATTCACCATGTCCTCGCTTGGCTTACTAACCCAGAAGATGATTATTAAAATGTCACACTTTGAGAAATCTCCCAAATAAACAAAATAATAAGCAGAAGAGAATTTGAGCAATTAATTACATCTGATCTACAGAAGTGCTTCAAGGCAAGACGCCCACCAACATCTCATTAGACTGACTATAGATTCTGAATGGTCCGAGGAACCTTTGCAGGGGGAATAAAAATAAATTAGTGTCAACTAATATGTATTGAATGTTATTATGTGCCAAGCACTGCTATGTTTTTACATGTGTTATCTCATTTATTCTTCAAAACAACCCAGTGAATAGGTACTAATATTACCCCATTTTTCAGAAAAGAAAGAACAGAGAAAAATAACTTGCCCAAGATGGTTACACAGCAACTAAGTTTTAGAAGCCAAATTTGGACCCAGACAATCCAACTTCAGAGTCTGCATATTTAATGAAGGGTTAGAGAAAGGGTAACAAGAAGAATTACTTCCTGCTATTTAAATTGAACTCACCACCAGCACCTCAGTCGTATATGCTCATCCAACTCTCATTAGTCTAAAAAAATTATCAATGGACATCCACTGACCAGATTCCCAGAGTTTAAAGCCTTTCTAATCATCTCCAACATTATAAACGTCATCTTCCATGACTGGCAGGCAATTGTGCACTAACAACCTTACTTTTGATAAGTTCAGACATAATCATCATAATTACATGCAAAGCCCTGTTCTAAGTACTTTATATGTATTAATTACTATCATAACTTACATCAACCTGTTAGGCAGGCAAAATTATCTCATTTTACAGACGAGGAAACTGAGGCACAGAAAGGTTAAGTTACTTGCCCAAGTTCATGTAGTTAGTAAGCGACAGAGCAAGGATTCGAGGATTTGAATCCCGCCAGTCAGCCTTCAGAGTCCATACCCTTAGCCACTGTTTTATATTGGTTTTGAAACATATTAACAATTTACTGTTAAAAAACAAGGAATCTGTGCTTTTTTGTTTCCTTTAACCTCCGGCACCCAGGCCTTCACTCTGCTCACAAGGAGTGTATTTCACATGAAAGCTCCTGACATCTCTCCAAGGTAGGTAATAACAAAATAAGACTCTATCGAACTTACTTCATCCAGTAAATACTTTTTTTAAAAAACATTATAGTACAAATATTAAATTGTGCATAATTCTGGCACTTCTTTACTTAGTGCCTGCTAACTACAGAATGACTAAAGAATTACTTCAAAACTTGGGCTGGAAAGGGAGATCTGACCTAACAGCCACTAACTCTGTTTTCCTATCCAAAAAGAGGGAGGGAGGGAGCGGGAGAGAGAGGCGTTTCGGAACCTTCTCTGCTTCCCTAAAAGGCCCCTACAAACAGGAGCAAGAGCAGTTGAGAAAACAGCGAGCGTGTAAGGCGGCCCTCGCTAAAGTCTGATTTCCGTATTTCCATCACTACATCTAGGAGTGGGGAAAATCACGATCAGGTCATCTCCCCCTGCACTCCAGACATTCAGACACTGATCTGTTGGTTCTGCAAAACAGTCACAGCTTTTCGAACATCAGCTCCCCCCTCCCCCCAACGCTCTACCCCAGCGACTTGAGGATGCTCAGGGCTGCAGTTCTGAGACAAGCCCCGGAGCATCCAGGCAGGAGTCTGCCACGACGCCTCGGCCGGGCGTCCCCCCGGGCTGCCGTTTCCAGGCAACCTGACCCGGCCAGAAGCAGCGTGCTTCCCGCACGGTCACCTGCTTAAGACGCCCCCGAGAGGCAGCGGCAACACCCGCGCACACGGCTGCCTGCCGCCCCTCTTCGTGCTGCAGCCTCCCCGTAACCCGGATGTGGGGTCTGGGTCCGCCACTCTCACCTCCCATTCCCCAGTTTTCCGCCTTGGCTGCCATGTAGTCATTTCGCACTTCTGGCGCCTTTATTCAGAGAGACATCCTAGGAGTTTCCGCTCCTGGAGCAACAAACTGTCGTGGCCACACAGCCCGGAGGGAACGGGATTCCTGGGAAATGTAGTTTTTTCTGCTGACGAGTGGTGAATCTTTAAGCAAAAGGGACTACAATTCCCAGAAATCTAAGAGAGGCGCGTCCATGGCTAAAACGTGCCCCAGATGCTTGGATTGTGCTAGGCAGGAAGGTTCTGTGCTTACCTAACTGCCTGGATTTTGCTAATTCGGTCCCACTACAAGCTTGTGGGAGAACTTTTTTTCAAACATGCTTTTTACGTATGAGAGTATGTAAAACAATGAGAGTATCTAAACACAATGATTTATATGAAGAGATATAGTAACTCAATTTTTTTGTGTAATTCTTTTAGATAAAAAAATCTACCCACCGTCAGAAAATATGTCGCTACAGATGGTAACAGTTGGTAATAACCTAGCCTTAATTCAACCAGGCTTCTCACTGATGACTTTTGATGGGCAGGTTTTCTTCTTTGGCCAGAAAGGCTGGCCCAAGAGGTCCTGCCCCACTGGAGTTTTCCATTTTGATATAAAGCATAACAACCTCAAACTGAAGCCCACAGCTTTCTCTAAGGATTCCTGCTACCTTCCTCCTCTCCGCTACCCAGCCACTTGCACCTTCAAAGGCAGCTCAGAGTCTGAAAAGCATCAATACATCATCCACGGAGGGAAAACACCAAACAATGAGCTTTCGGATAAGATTTATGTCATGTCTGTTCTTTGCAAGAACAGCAAAAAAGTTACTTTTCGCTGCACGGAGAAAGACTTGGTAGGAGATGTTCCTGAAGCCAGATATGGTCATTCCATTGATGTGGTGTATAGTCGAGGGAGAAGTATAGGTGTTCTCTTTGGAGGACGGTCCTACATCCCTTCCACCCAAAGAACCACAGAAAAATGGAATAGCGTAGCTGACTGCCTGCCCCATGTTTTCTTGGTGGATTTTGAATTTGGGTGCTCTACATCATACATTCTTCCAGAACTTCAGGATGGGCTATCTTTTCACGTCTCCATTGCCAGAAATGATACCATTTATATTTTAGGAGGACATTCACTTGCCAATAACATCCGCCCTGCCAACCTATACAGAATAAGGGTTGATCTCCCCCTGGGTAGTCCAGCAGTGAACTGCACAGTCTTGCCAGGAGGAATCTCTGTCTCCAGTGCAATTCTGACTCAAACAAACAAGGATGAATTTGTTATTGTTGGTGGCTATCAGCTTGAAAATCAAAAAAGAATGGTCTGCAACATTGTCTCTTTTGAGGACAACAAGATAGAAATTCGTGAGATGGAGACCCCAGATTGGACCCCAGATATTAAGCACAGCAAGACATGGTTTGGAAGTAACATGGGAAATGGAGCCATTTTCCTTGGCATACCAGGAGACAATAAGCAGGCTCTTTCAGAAGCATTCTATTTCTATATATTGAAATGTGCTGAAGACGATTTGAACGAAGACCAGAAAACATTAACAAACAGTCAGACATCAACAGAAGACCCAGGGGACTCCACTCCCTTTGAAGACTCAGAAGAATTTTGTTTCAGTGCAGAAGCAAATAGTTTTGATGGTGATGATGAATTTGACACTTATAATGAAGATGATGAGGAAGATGAGTCTGAGACGGGCTACTGGATTACATGCTGCCCTACTTGTGATGTGGATATCAACACTTGGGTACCATTTTATTCAACTGAGCTCAACAAACCTGCCATGATCTACTGCTCTCATGGAGATGGGCACTGGGTCCATGCCCAGTGCATGGATCTGGCAGAACGCACGCTCATCCATCTGTCAGAAGGAAGCAACAAGTATTACTGCAAGGAGCATGTGGAGATAGCAAGAGCACTGCAAACCCCGAAAAGAGTCTTACCCTTAAAAAAGCCTCCACTGAAATCGCTCCACAAAAAAGGTTCTGGGAAAATTTTGACTCCTGCCAAGAAATCCTTTCTTAGAAGGTTGTTTGATTAGCTTCACAAAGGCCCTTCCAATTCAAGTGCATCGAATTTTTAAATCTATTTTAAAGAATCATGACAATAATAAAAATTATATTCTCATTTTTATTTGTTGGAAATATCTATGTTTTCTTTTAGTTAGATGAATTAAATGCCAGCAAAACGTACTTACAATCTTATGCTAAATACCTGAAAATGTTTTACTCAAATGTATCTAAATGAGAATTTCTGATTTGAATTTGTTCATTCAAGGAATCTTAAATACGGACGCAGTAATAATAATCAAGGTATGCTTATATCCCTGAGATGATTTTGATAAGAAATAAGCTATAGAGAAGTTAAGACAAAATTAGACCAGTAAAGAAACAAACACCTAAAAGAATTAAATGAATTATTTTGTGCAATATAATAATTTGGTGTTTGGCCAAAAATTAAAACTGAGATCACCTGTATCCCACACTAGTGCTCTTCATGTACCTCTAAGCTGGCCCCTTGACTATACCCATGAGCAGACGAAGTTCTTTATAGCTTATGTAAGGACCTAGATAGATGGTAGATAGATAGATAGTCTCCATTGACACGAAAGAAGAGAAAAGAAATTTACATCAAGTTTGTTACATTTTATCAAGTTGTCCGCATGCACTTTCTTCAGAGGATCCCCCCATCATATGGTGCACATACACAAATCTGTTTTTCCCCATTTAAAATCTTCTACCTGTTAACTTTAGGAAATTCTTTAAACTTGTATTATTCAGGGAAATAAACAATACTATTCTTCCCATGAGATTGATTTGGTGGTCCTTTCTCAGGGTACGCTCCCTCAGGTTCACTTAGATATGTGCTAGAATGAAAGTTAAAAGGACTGAATTTTGAGGCTTCGAGACATCAGCTGATAATTAGATGACCTTAGAAACAAATATCCTCCCTCCTAGAGTACGTTTCTGGAAAGGCATTTCACCTTATCCTAAGAGTTAAGCCACAGCATCTTATTCATCAGTCTCCAGTGAGCATCCACAGCGCGTGGGGTACTATTGCCAAATTCAAGGGAAACATGAACCATCCAGGGGACGAAACTCTGGAATGCAAATTCTTCTGCGAACAGTTCCATGTCTCATGTACTAAAATTAGCCTGACTAAATTAAATCACGTTCACTTTGTTTCAGTAATGTTGCTTGATGAATATTCCTTTCGAACAATTTGCTGTACCATAGTTTTGATTTTTTGTTGTTTCTATCACCTACATAAAACTAATAAAATATTAAAATGCCTTCTGTTTATATAGATTTACTCCAATTATTAACATTCATAGTTAACCAATTAAGGGCAAAATTATACTATTGAATTTTCTGAGAGTCACTCTGATTTCTTTTTTATCTGTTAGTAGAAAGTGGCATAAGTGAGAGCTGAAATATCCTTCCCAGAGTTCGAAAGAGTTATTCCCTCAAGAGGTAGATACATTCCCTTATCTTGATTTGTCTACAGTGACTGAGTGGCTAAAGAATTATTCCCATATTTGTGTTGTAGTCAATGAGATCAAGATGTGTTAAAATAACTAATTTAATTCTGAACTCACTGGCTTCTGCGCTTCAACTCCAGTCTCACCAGCATGGCTGCTTTTGGGGCATGTGTGTGTGTGTGTGTGTGTGTGTGTGTAGTGTGTGGTGTGTGGCGTGTGTTTCAAGAGCAAGTACTTTGGTTTTACTTACCATATAGTTGAGTAAAAATAGGTCTGTTTAAGTCTTCTCACAAAGAGTCCGTCAGATGTGACTTTAAGATAAGGAGGCTTTTTTTGTAATAAGCTTACACAAACATTCAAATAAACCACATTAGAAGAATATCACTTATTCCAATGATATGCTGCTTTTGCCTGAAACATTTCTATCAGCTTCAGCATCCATGGTTCATTCCTTTGAAAATCCTTAACAGTCACCCCTCTTCCTCCATTAGAAGTGGAGTTGGTTTCTAGAAACAGACCAATGTCACCAAAGCCTGGTAGGGTGTAACTCAATATTATATTATGACTTTAGTCAAAAAGGAAGTCTGAGGACAAGCTAACGAAATGGGTTTTCTGATGTGGCTCATATATAGGGTCTAAAGGTAAGTCCCAAAACTGTTTACACAGAATAATATCAATAAAAAGTATACGGCTTTCCAAAGTGACCATCATAAGGGACTATACTCACCTACAAGTACTAGTCAGTTAGATGTGTTAGGAGAAGGGAAAGATAATAAAAAGGAATAGTTAGTCTAAAGGCCGTGGGGTGAGACGAAGCTTGTCACGTTCGAGGAACTGAAAGGAGGTCAGTCTTGTGAACAGAGTAAACAAGGGGAGCGTGGAGTGGCGTGGGCCTGGCGAGACGAGTAGGGCCAGGGCCCCCCATCTTCATCAGTGAAATACATGCAACTTCATTCGTATCATTTTGTCCTGTCCCCTCTCTTACCTCTCCGTTCCACTGCTCCCTTCACGCTTTGTGCTCAATCTCCATAAATGCAGAACCGGTAACGTTTCCAGCGAGCACCCCTAGTTGTTTCAGTCCTCAGGGCTGTGGAGCCACCCCTTCCTCCGGCAGGGCCTGCCCTCCCCCTCCACTCTGTCACTCCTGCTCATACCCTAGGCCTCTGGCCCATTCCTGTCCCCTCTTTACCTCCAGTTCAGACGCCTGCTCCTCCAGGAAGCCTTCTCTGAACCCCATCACCTCCTGACAGTTGTAGTGCTTACACCTCTCTGCCTCAGAAACAAAACTGTCCTATGCATCCCTTTTACCATGTGTTGGAAATTTAATTTCAATAAGTTTAGGGTTCTCCCTCTTTGCTTAACTTTTTATCCAAGTTCCAGGGAGAAAAGTAATGCTGAATTGTCGGGAGTAGGAGTGAGAAGGGGGTGAAGCGTCTGGTCCTCAGGGACGTCATCTCTCCTCACTAGCTTCTGCTACCACAGCCACACTCCCACGTGGCCTGAGGGTACCAGCTTTAAAGGTGATGCCCGAGTTGCACCTCAGCCTTAACCGCAAGGCCTCATTAGTTTGAGCTCTCTCTCAGCTGTTTGCAGGTTCGCAGTGGGCTCACAGGATGAGAAGGAGGTCATTCTGCCCCTTCCTCCCCCAGAGTGGCCCCCGTGCTCCTGCAGGACCGCCTAGGACTTGTCTGTTTCTGTACCCCTCTGGGACACATCTTGCTGCTCCTGCACCTTACTGGTCACAGAACCTCTTCATGACTGTCTCTGCCTAAACACACTTCACTGCCATTACCCCTCTGGATGCCACTGGCTTCCTGGACTCTATCAGGAAAGTAAGATGTACATTCTTTCTGTTCCTGACTCCTTCAAACTCATCTGGGGTTTCTATTGTTCTGCCCAACTCCACAGCTCAACCCAGGATATAGGATACAAGGAAGAACCTTTTTTCTCTGGGATCCACAGTGTCTGCCCACTCTAGCTTTTTCTCTTACTCTCGCCTGAGAAATCTTTACCTACCATGGAAACAGTTCCTGGTGATGTAAGCACTAAATAAATATTTATGGAATGAATGAATGACGGCATGATAGACTAGCTCTTACTCCTCAGGTGTCCTTCAAAACCTAATGCAAATATTTTCAGTTTTTTCCATTTCCCTGTGAAGCATAGAGTTCTGAATTGTGAAGTCAGGATAAAAGGAAGAACTAGGAGGAAAACAAATCACCAAAAATGTTATTATAAAATTTGATAACCTGCTTTATCTACCAGACCTAGTTCCGCAGCGTTTCAGACTATTTCCAAAAATCTCCCAAAATTAATTCCCCCCAAACAAACAAAAATTTGCAACAACATTTTGAGAAAAAGTCTACCCTTCTCTGATTTGTAGGTTGAATGACCAAAACTCTGGTGCAGGGACATGTCTTTTTACTCTTGACTATAAAGAAATAAGAAGCGTTTTTACATTTAAAACTCGAAAGTTGCTAAGAGAGTAGATATTATATGTTCTCACTGCTCCCCCCCCCAAAAAAGTTACTATGTGAGGTGATGGATGTGTTAACTAACCATATTGTAGTAATCATTTCACAATGTATATGTATAGCAAATCATCACGTTGTACACCTTAAACTTACACAATTATATGTCCATTATATCCCAATAAAGTTGGAAAAAATACATTATTAGGATTAAGAAAAAATAAAGTTGTCATTAATCCTTTAGCGCTTCAGAGAGGAATCAAAACTTAAAACACATGCGCAGCAATCGAGTGTTAATAGAAATAGACACCAGCCCCGTACTAAGGGCATTTTTGTTAACTGCCACAGTTTAAATATGAAAACACTAATTTTTATTGATCCAAATTGATGAAATCTTTAAAAAGATTATCTCTAGAGAATATTATTTAAAAAGGCAATGTTGTTTTCAGAGAAATTCAAACTTATTTTGTAGCAGAATTACAGAATAGCATTTTAATTAAATTTGTTTCTCAGAAAAAAAGAGTACTATCTCAAACTACTGTCACACCACACAGAGCTCATCATCCCTCCCAATGCTGTTCCAGCACCTTCTCATGATCTCTATTGTGACCCCTAACCCAGTTAAATACTGGTGGCTGAGTGTGCTAAGCGTCTGACTTGTCCAACCAACTGTGAGTTCCGTGCGGACTCAAACAATGACTTTGTAATATCTGTATACCAAATACTTAGCATAATGCCTGGGATCCTGTAGGCATTTAAAGTGTTGTTGAACTGAATTGAATTAAATTCTTTGATGAGGGAGCCAGCCCCGTGACTTAGTGGCTAAGTTCACACAGTCTGCTTCAGTGGCCCAGGGTTTTGCCGGTTCAGATCCCGGAGGCAGACCTAGCGCCGCTCATCAAGCCATGCTGAGGTGGCGTCTCACAGAGCACAGCCAGAAGGACCTCCAACTAGAAATATACAACTATGTACTGGGAGGCTTTGGGGAGAAGAAGAAAAAAAGAAAAAGAAGACTGGCAACAGATGTTAGCTCAGGTGTCAATCTTTAAAAAAAAAAATTTAATAAATAAATAAAAAGAAATGTATTGAACTTCTCCAGGGTTTTCTTCTCTATAAAAATAAAAATAAAAAAATAAATAATTTGATGAGTTGCATCTGAATTCCAGTATAGGCAGCCAAAGTGTCTAACATAACACTGTCTAGCATAAACATATATATGTATATATGTGTGTGTATATATATATTTAGAGTGAATAAATTAACTGAATAAGCAAGAGATACAAGATCTGAGTTTACACTTTACACAGTTTACAGTTTACACAGAGGTACCTCTGTGATTACACAGATGAGAATAAGAAAATAAATATTAGTCAGGATAATTAACACAGCTGCTGTAACAAAAAAATCCCAAATACCAGTAACTTGCCACAATTAAAGCTTCTTTCTCACTCAGGCAGAGTCCAATGCAGCTTATCCTTACTAGGCTCTTCACCTGAGTGGCTCTCCCCCAAGTTGTGTCTCAGGGAATCAGGCTTTTTCTGTTTGGCAATTCTTCCATCTTTATCTTTATCTTGCGTCCTCAAGACTTCACACACAAGGAAAAGAAAAAGCGTGGAAAAGACACACCAACTTGTAAATGTTTCAGGCTGCAAGTGATACATCATTTCTTCTGATATTCCATTGGCAAAAACCAGTCTCATGGCCCACCTAGATGCAAGCAGGCTGGGAAATATAGCTTAGCGTGTGCCCAGAAAAGAGAAATGGATGTAGTGAGCACTGAGCCAATATCTCCTATGATATATATACTTCCTCCACCTGGAAAATCCTTTCCCCTGGTAAATAGCTATCATCCTTCAAGGTTTAGTTTAATCTTGATGTTCTCTGTGAAGCCTTCAGCCTAAACAGAATGGAACACTCACCTTGGTGGCCAAGCTATCTCTCTTTGCCCACTGTCTCTCTTTATAGTCTTTATCAACTTATATGACATTTATATGCCTGCCTTCTCTCTTTGATGGTGGGCTCCTTGAAAACAAGAAGAGTTTCTTCTTCAACTTCGTATCCTCAATACCAGGCATGGTTTCTGTTTCACTATATTTGCTCCATAAATGTTCACTGAATTAAATTAAGTTCACTGTATATGGACTGAAGTTACTCACTTCTACAGTTGTTGTCTCCCTTTGTTTCCAATTATTTAATAAATGAAGGATGAGATATGGCAATAAATTCCTTGTGTTCCAAATATCTTGATCAATGAAAATATCTCATCTCACAGAAATTGGAAACCAAAAGTACGGTGAAATTCACAGAAGGAGATGAGATGAGGCCTTGGGTTAA